TTTTTTGGAGGAGACCGAAGCAGAGCTACAATACGAGTGAATATTTGACCAGTGGCAAGACTTACTACTCTAAATAAACATGTATTATATTACATATTTGCTAGATGTGGATGCTGATGTTCACCATATACATTTGCATATTAATAACATATTATTGTGGTTTGTAATTTATAATAAGTATGTGTGCACATGCAGTATATGACTAGAGTAGATGCAAACAATTGTTTACCTTTATCTAGTTTTAATTCGGTGTTCTATCATCACGTCTTCTTTCCGCTCCAAAATTCTGTAATGCAGGCAAGGTTGAATATTGAAAGGCGTCAAGCCTCCTCTGTGGACTTCTGAAACGGAAAGAGGAACCTCTGAGCCCGACATGATCTCACCTGGACATTGCCTCATTGGCTCAACTGTATCCTCAACGTCCCGCTGGGAGATATGTTGGTGTGTGTGTGTGTGTGTGTGTGTGTGTGTGTGTGTGTGTGTGTGTGTGTGTGTGTGTGTGATGTGTGTGTGTGTGTGTGTGTGTGTGTGTGTGTGGTGTGTGTGTGTGTGTGTGTGTGTGTGTGTGTGTGTGTGTGTGTGTGTGTGTGTGTGTGTGTGTGTGTGTGTGTGTGTGTGCGCGCATGTGTGTGTGCGCGCATGTGTGTGTGCGCGCATGTGTGTGTGCGCGCATGTGTGTGTGCGCATGTGTGCACGTGGAGGAACTTTATGAATGAAAAGTCTTCTTCCTGAGCTGCAGACAGGAGGTGAGATCATCCTGTTGAAATGGAGAATCCCCCACCCACCAACCCCCTTTTGACCCGCCCTCCAATACTGGTTGGCGCCAATCTTAATGAATCCCATCAGTGGGTGCAACCTGATGGATGACAATACCCTCCAATATGAGCTTCCCCAGACAGACAGGAAGGACTCAATCCATAGTGTATGTTCACACAGAATTACATTTGCAAACCAAAAACTAGAGACAGTATGCCGTCTTCTTTCTTCAGAAATCTGAAAGAATGGCTGGTATTCTGCTTTTGGATTTCCGTCAACATGATGTTGGAACAGATTGCCAATTATCTTTTTTTTGTTTGTTCATGTTCCCTTTAGGAACAGAGTTGAGTGGATTTGATGATTGGCCACCTATTCAGTCGCGTGTAAGTAAGAGTGACAATGAGTAACACGAAGGGCTCTCGATGAGGATCCATAAATAGGCTCTCCAAAGAGCCAGTATAGCTGCCCTCCCCCTCATTCCCTGCCCCACACACACACTTCTACCTTCCCCCTTAACTGGACTGAGACAATCTGTGACCATTTGGTCTATCAACATACTGTATGCTCACAGTCACAGGCATGTATACACACATGGCGGCATTCCTATTGACAACCTTCACTGCAGGCTTTGAGTAAATCCCTGCTACAGATTATAAGGCATGTTGCCAAACAATGCAGCATTTTACATCAGCCATTCGATTGACTACCACCAAGTGTTGTACAGGCATTCCTTCAGTTGTCCAATTAAAGCTTTTTAATTGTGCACATTTTCTCCTAAAATAGAAGATGGTCTTTGCACGTATGCAGCGAGTATGTGACCTGACAGGAAAAGGCACTTAGCTCATTCTGAATTCACTGCAATCTTTAAAATGCGATGGTAGTGCCCATGAATACATTTGTTCCGAAGCTGTCACTCTGTAGATTTGAGGTTTTTTTTTTTTATCTGATAAGGAGTTATACCCTGCAGCGTTTATTCGGAGCTTGTTTCTGACGGATTAACCACAGCAGAAGCAGAAGCTGTGTTGGTGGACATCAGAGGCAGCACGGACCCTCAGGACTGAACATCCCTGACGAGGAGCCATCCTGGAACTACAAGCAGCGATAAATAAATCATGAAGAAAGTTTTAAGAAAAAGATAGAAATAGAACAGAGGGTGTGCTAGTCCATCAGACTGCCTTAAGACTGAATTCTAGATACAGGAGACATAAAATAGAAAAAATGATTAAAGCCGCTGATTCTTTTTTCCCCCTATTTCATGTGATATTAAAACTAGCATTAAACATTCATAAACAACATTTTTGGCTAGGGATCTTTGAATATTCATTTAGGAACTGGAAGATAATGTTAGATTGTTAAATTCAAAATAGACGCACCAAATCTGCTGTCAACATTTTTATTTTAAATGCAGGAATTGAGATGGGTTTTAAAATATGTTATAAAAAAGTTAAACATTTAATTACACACATATAATTGATTATTTTTGCTGTTGCTCTCTGTTTCCCCTTGTTAGGAATGAAATTGTAGGGTAATACAAAACGTGAGTACACTCCACAGAGAGAAACGCAAAACACAACATTTAGTGCTTTATATGGATGCAGAAGGCACAGAGTGACTGGATGAAAAATGAATAAAGGAATTGAAATGTTCCAAACTGTAATTTCAGTGGAGGTATCAAACTCGGGAAGTGTATGATCTTTTATTCATCTGAATTGCATAAATGTCTGCAGAGAGAAGAACAGGGGGGGGGGCTTTGACTACTTGTGCATGTTGGTTAGTCTCACATGGTTGGCCTGGTAGTAGGTATACGGGTTTCCCCCCACTGTCTGCTGGCAGAGCGATGAGGTCATCGTTGGGGTTTAAGCCCAACACGAGCTTAATCTGGGAGATAAGGGGTGGATTTAGATTTAGCACTGAAAAAGGGTCATGCAGCTCAGACATGGGATCCCCAGCTGTTACAAAAACTAACATCTTCCTCTGTGTCAGCCAAATAGTTTGACTCCTGGAAGATTTTCCAGTGTTTACAGTGATTTCACGATGTCCCAGTTGGCCTGCAGAGTCACCCTAGCATCCATTCATACAGGATTTCCCTGTTTTATTGTGTGAGCTCTGTGATTTGGGCAAAAGTGAGAATGTTATGTTGTATCGTACATTTTTTAGACTTAATATATTGATTTAATGTCTATTTCATGTGAAACGGTTCAGTCAATATTACAAGATTGGAGTTAGTGTTGAGGTTTGACGTTTGTTCTCCATCTTAAAAGCCTGGACAAGATGGCAATAATTGTTAAATCAATATGTATTTCTTCTTATATATCACTATAGTATAAGGCAGTTATTTATGAGTTTTGTTGTAGACATAATTGTTTAGAATGTTGTTGTGATTTCTCTTATTTTGGGACCTTGTTACAAGCTTTGATGTTGGGGTTTCTTGTACAGCATGTGTGTGCAGAGTTTAATGCATGCTATCATAATAAAAACGTTTTTCATTCATTTATGATGGCAGAAATGCTAGGCCTGGGAATAACACCTTTATAATATAATAGGAACCCTTGACTATGAGGACCAGAGTTGGGTGTAAAAACTAATATTATATAATATATAATACTAATATTACAGTAAATAAATGTGCGTTACAAAGTACAAAGTAACGCGTTACATTTATAATTCAGTAATCACACTACAGTTTCTAACATTGCCCCGACACGTATTACTTCGTTATAAAATCAGTCAAATCATCAAATCAAATCAAGTTTTATTTATATAGCACATTTATAAACGATTTTTGGTCGAGCCAAAGTGCTGTACATAACATAAAAATAGCCTACAGTAGAGACACTTTACAGCAAATACAACAGCACAGATTGTTCAGAATATCAGTATGAGAAAAACGACACCCTCTATCCTTAGACCCTCACATCGTACAAGGAAAAACTTCCAGAGATAATCACACTGACAGACAAGAGCGGTTTCCGCCGCAGGTTTATATGTAGGCTACGTAATCTGCGCGATTTGCGCGTCCACATCTCCAGTGCAGTGCTGCATAAACATCGCTGAGTCAGCGATAACTTTCGAGGGGTGGAGGTATGCCCATTATTTTGAGTTTGTCCGAAGAATAGGCCAGAAGCTGTTATCCACTGCTGCAGGGACGTGCACAGGTACGGGCTAATAATGTTGCCCGGGCAACGTTTGGCCTCTTTGCTTTTTTCTGTTGTGGCCAAATCAACATGATAAGCAAGCCCACAATTAGTATTGTAGCGTCTTGCTGCGGGAAACACACTTTGTCAGCGCTGTCATCTGCCGATGCGTTATAAGACCACCTCAGTGTCGGATTTTGGAAACTTGATTTTGAGTTGTCTCATGGCAGTTAGGGTATAAGGGACAAACCAGGGGACTTTACTTCCTCTTGATATTGTCGGTTATTTACAACAAAAAAACACCTAGGCCTAAATATAGCCTACTTGTTGTTATTGTGCTTCTGTCTTTCTGCGTCTTTTCATCTGTAAACTCCCTCAATGGGGCCGCTCGCTCTCTTTTCTTGATCGCCCTCTCACGGGTGAGGCAAAACTGTGCGCGTTTACACTGTAGGTGCGCCGCAGTCTGCGTGATCTGCCTGCAGGGAGGGGCGGGCCGGCCCTGGGAGTAAAGTAACGAGTAAAGTAACGAGTTACTTTATGTAGAGAGTAACGAAGTAGTGTAGCCTAATATAGCCTATTACTTCTTTTTTTTAAAAGTAATATGTAATATATTACTTTTTTTTAGTAACGACCCCATCTCTGATGAGGACCTTGGGGTATTTTCAAACACATAATGAGATTTGTGATGACAGTTGTTTAAAACGAGTGTGATATTTTATTCCATTCGGGTTAATTGAAGTCGCTGAGGGAAACAAATCACGCCTGGGGAAAGTCCCATTTAGGCCCTGTGCTGTCCCACTCTCCCTATCTGAGATAAATGGGTCAGTAGAGATTGCAGAAGATAATAATAAAAAACGTCCTTCCTTCATGTCCCCTCTGTGGCAGACGGGACATAGTGCTCACAGATTATGCACCAATTATACAGACGGCGTTAATAGGGTTTGAAGGGATTTACATGGGGCTGTCCAGTCAAATGCTGCATGCTTTGTGGATGACATCATTTTTGATCACCTCACTCACCGGCTGACCCCCTACCTCCCAGCCTAAGAGCCTCAATCGCTCTTAAAGCCCTTTACCTGCGGTTGTCCCGCGTCTCTCCGGACTGAGCCCGTCACAGCACATTTGATCCCTGATAGGAGGACACCAACACACTGCATCCCTCCCATCCTCCTCTCCTCCACAGTCGTGTTTACTATAGGTGAGATAGGCCGTATAAATTCCTCGAGTGTGCGCAGATCACATCCTCAGAGGAGAACGGAAAAGGAGGAGGAGGGAAAGCAGCAGGAAAACAAGCGAACCTAGGGGAGCGGAGCTGTGTTTACCGCTCACTGGGATAGACGCAGCAGAAGACGCTCGTTTCCAGTCATCCAGGGCGGAGAAATCTCGGTGGATGCACGGAGAAGGAGGAGTGAGCGTAGATGCTGACAAAACCCGAGAGTGCGAGACATATTTCGTGATTGTTATTAGACTTAATCTTTCAATTGGAATACGCGTTTGCATTCTCCAGCGATGGACTTCAGCTGTCGGCACTGAGGTAGGACACGTTTTTTGGTTTTACATTGGCAGTCGGCGTGATAAACAGGTAGGCTACAAGGAGAATGGAGGTCATCTGCACCGTGTTATAATCTTGAAATAATACATACTGTGCTTTTTTATTATTCTAGTTTAAACTGGAATTGCGTGTTTGCCTGTCAGTAATGCTCCACTGGTGCACCGCAGCAGGGGGTGCGTGGAGAAGCGATGATGCGCACAACACACATCCACAATGCACCGGCCTGTAACAGAGCGTAGCCTCCTTCAAGCTCCGCAGCTGATACCTCCAAATAAATCAAATGAGAGCCGGAGCAGGACTATTAGCTGACTGGATCAGTCGGATGTGAATGATTATTCCAGATTTCAGACACCAGATGTGTCTCAGTGGTTCCGTTTTATCCCCTCCGTAGAAAATTATAATGACTTTGAGCTTTATGGTTGATGCCGCGTACTACAGGCTGTGTCCGTCTTGTTTTGGACTATACATGATTTATCTTTCCATATAGCCTACTATGAATAATTGATGCTTATGTACAGATGAAGGTCGTAGATTCAGGGATGATGGCTGATAAATTAGATTTCAGGATAATTGTGAGATGTCCCATTATGGGTGGTCAATATCATAGTCTTAATGGCATGTTAATACATTTAGGCTTGGTAATTTAACTCATATTGACATTCAAACTGGCATAAGACATGGAAAGCAAATGTAAGATACTCTCACAACGACTAGATGAAAACATGGAAACTGATCCAGTTTCCTGTTAAAAATGTTCATGATGTAATATGCCGTACAAAAGAATGATGATACTGATAAAGGTTTTGAGTTGTTTCATTATTTTACAAAGCAGGTTCAGCTTGTCACCTCTAGTTCGTGCTTGTCAGTGAAAGCAGAGAAGGAGTGGATCACTTAAAAAGGCCCTAACAAGAAATAATGCATTTTCATTCTCCACCGAGCGTGTATATGCTTTTGTCCTTGGAGAAATGACAAGCTTTGAAGAGGCTTGCAGAGCTCTCTCGTTATTATACAGGCGTCATTTGATCTCATCCATTTTAATACACCAGTGATGTTGCTCCAGGATGTAAATAACCAGCTGAGGCCCCATTCTACCTTTACGGCACTACGTTTGTAAATCATGAACATGAAAAACCTAAAGCAATTCATACTGTCATATTCTGTAATGTGTAAGGAAATTACCTAATTGAGATACTGCAATGCTGCAGCACCGATAAGGTTGCCAAGTTAAAGAGGGGGTTTTAAATGATTTGCTGTGCACTTCATCAAGTGTAGTGCTGAACTAAGGCTTTCTCTGATTTATGATCCAGACAGGCTGCTTTTTCGTCTTTTATCCACATGTCCTGAATCATGTTTCACACTCTAGTATTGATTTGATACCCTCAGATTTCAGACATCATGACTCATAAGTTAATATCATTGCTCTGATTATTGGGCACATGCCCTGACAACCACTGTACTCTCATTTTCACCCTTTTTTCATTCAAAAGTCACTTTTGATTGTTACTTCTTTTTACGACTAAATATGTGTGATATTTGTTCATGATATTACTCATCTATGCTGATGATGAATAGTTTACTGTGTGTTGCTCACTGTTGTCTTCCTGACTCTACATGTTCTTTATAAAAAAGCTGCAAATAACTTTCTGGGTGATACAACAAAACAAAAACAGTATGGGAACTATAAATGTGCGTTTATTTTATATTGATCACAGCGTCAGGGAGGTGTGGCTTCTTGTCATCCCGCTTTTTTCAGTGCTACAGAGTTCAGTGGGGCTTGTGGGGGTACATAACTACATTGAGTTCCACTTCAACTCACAATGTATTATTATTGAAGGTCCTTCTTACAGGAGGCCAAATAAATACCTTCCAGAGGTGACAAACTCAATACTTGCTTTTATGGCTGCCAGGGAGTAAAAAAAGGATGTTTACTTTTATTTTGTATATAACGATTCCCCCCCCCCCCTTTTTTCTCCCTTCCTCTCTCTATGTTAGGCTCCCAGTTATTTTGTTCTTCTTGTGACCTAAAGCGTCATGGCGCTTCTTCACGAATCTCGTGCTCCCTCTCCTTCTCTCTCCGGCTTCAACACACCCCTCTCTGATCCTCCATCCTATTGTCGCTTCGATGCCGAAACACCCTGCACCCCAGAAATGGACCTTACCCCGACCCAGTGTGTCATTCGTAACGTCCTATCTATGGACACCGGAAGAGCTGTAGAGCCCGAGGGTGGAGGGGGAGAGGGCCAGAGCACGGGCCACAACCAGACACCAGGCGAGGAACAACAGGAGCACTTTGCCAACAGCGTGCTGAAGCTCCACGAGCATGACAGGAGTCCAGGAAGGACGGAGGGAGAGGGGCAGGAGATGGAGGGCAGTGCGGTCAGGAACCAGGCCGGTGTTGCCAGGCTACAGTGCCAGTCTACCGGAGGGTTTCTAGAAGGGTTGTTTGGGTGTCTGCGGCCTGTCTGGACTATGATCGGCAAAGCATACTCCACAGAGCACAAACACGGCCTGGATGGTAAGTCAAATCCATGTTAATAGAAACACACAAACACATCCCCACACACTGATAATATTGGTTGTTATACTTTTCTAATAAAAGCAAGCAGCAGCTCCCATTAGATTCCTGTGTGGAGCTTTGATATGCTAATTAAAGGATCTTATCCCCCGGTTTAATTACATTAACCAGTTGGTAGAGAAATGACTCCCACAAAGGCCATGTTGTAAACAAACACTTTCCTTGACGTGTAAGAGCTGAAGCACGAGAGAGACTCTCAAAGCTGCAAAGGGCTTATTTCCCCCTGATATTTCCCCCCATCCCCTGCTTATGCCCACCCCACCTTCTCCACACTACCACCCCCCAATCAAACTAGCTCCCTGTGACGCGGTGTTGTTTATGTCTGCATCCACTACAATAGCGCAGAGCTCCCCCGGGACTCCTCTGCCAAATCTGCTCCATGAATTATGCATGGCCACGCTCTGACCCTGTGCCTCTCATCTCTATTAACGCAAGCCTGACACACACACACACACACACACACACACACACACACACACACACACACACACACACACACACACACACACACACACACACACACACACACACACACATACACACACACTGATGTGAGACTGCACGCACACGTCCACAAAAATAACATTTTAATATCCGACAGAAAGTCAGATAAGAGGCCACAAACAAACTTGGTAGAATAAATACAGCAGGCTTGAAGGTGGCAGTTGTATATGTCTCCTTGTCTTTAGAGCCTTCTGATATTTTATCACCAGCTTGACTTCCACATCTCCCCTACACTCCCCTCCTCCTTCCATCTCTCATTGTCTCCTTTTTACCCGGTGCTGTTATCACTTCCAGCCCATCTGCACCTCGCTGCTCCCCCCCTCCGTGCAGCTTCACAGGGACTCACACACGCTGAGCAACCAGAGCAAAACGGTTATTATAAAAGTGACATAAATAGGGGTACTGCAACTGAATGCCTGCCTACCGTATCACAATGCCCTATTCTTAAGCTTTGATTAGAAGGCACAATGTAGCACAATTGAAAGCAGGAAAGTCATCCGTCCTTTATTGATTCTCAAGGACTGTGGGGTTTTTGGTACTAAATGTCCTCAGATCTGGCGTCTTCTGATGTGTAAGATATGGTGGTATGTCTTTACTGTGAGACATATGAGAGGCTCATTAGAGACTCAATCTATGACTGGATAGCATTAATCATTCATGCCATCCTCATTAATATGATAAATGTGTCTTAATCGTCCTACAGCGAGTCAGGAACAGCAGCAAAGCAGGCTGTATATTTTCTCTGTATTAACCGTCTGTCTTCGGCCACATGGACCCCTGTCCACCCGTGGGGAATCCCCCTCCCTTTTTCTACTAACACTAACACACACACACACACACACACACACACACACACACACACACACACACACACACACACACACACACACACACACACACACACACACACACACACACACACACACACACACACACACACACACACACACACACACACACAAGCAGAGCTACCTCCACCATCACTACCCCTCCACCTTCCTATTCAGCGTACATCCACATTAGGCTTTCAAATCCTCCCCCCCTCCTGAGCGTTGGACCCCTGTTTTGCGTCAGCCCCACAATGGCACTAAGCAGGATTTAGCAGGCTGAGGGAGAATTACCCACCGGAGATTAGAGCTCCCTCTCGGTCTGCCTGCACACCCCGAGTCTTAGGTTAAAGTGAGGTTCAACAACCGAAAAAGATATCAACTCGGCTTACAGCTGGTTTTACTGTTACAAGTCTAACTCATCCACTCTATCTCTGTGGTGTGCTTCTTGCTACTAGCTTTAGTTTTACAGACAGACTTTGGGGCATAACGTTTTCAGTCTTGATTTCATTGTTCTAGTTTGTGGTACAGATTTTGTATGTATGCAACAACTAAACAAAACATGAGCTTGTTTTGTCTACATTTTATCCATGTTGACAATTTAAAATAATAGTTTTTTATTTCAGTATAAGGGATATTTATTTTCTTGATGAGATCGAGATGACAAGATTGATGCAGAATATAACTTTGCAGAGGAAAATGACCTGTAATCCCAGCAGGTTAATAGTTGTTGCTCTGTTCCCTTTCCATATTAGACATGTTACTACACCAACAAACTCACTAACTGCTTTGCCTCCATCTTTTCCCCCTATCTCAGAGGCATGGGAGATCCCATTCGAGGAGATTTCTGACCTGCAGTGGGTTGGCAGCGGAGCCCAGGGTGCCGTCTTTCTGGGAAAACTGTACGGACAGGAAGTGGCTGTAAAGAAAGTGCGGAACATCAAAGAGACCGACATCAAGAACCTGCGCAAGCTCAAACATCCCAACATTATCACTTTCAAGTTAGTCGAACTAATCAGTTAATAGAAAACACATTCAAATACCCCAAAGAACTTTAAAGTTACAAGTTTCCAATTAATCACTATCAAGCAAGTCTAATATGTTCTGTATTAACAAACTGTACATGCTTCTCTACACTCGCAGAGGTATTTGTACCCAGGCTCCATGTTACTGCATCATCATGGAGTACTGTGCCCAGGGCCAGCTGTACGAGGTGCTGAGAGCAGGCAGGAAGATCCATCCCTCCCTGCTCATGGACTGGGCCATGGGCATCGCTGGGGGCATGAACTATCTTCACCTCCACAAGATCATCCACAGAGACCTCAAGTCACCAAAGTGAGTTTTATAGACCTGGTGAAAAGTAATCATGTGGTTACAGCTCTGTAATTCAACTGTAAATAATAAAGCAAACAAGTCTCTGGTTACAATTCAAGCATAGCTCTAACTTAGATGGTTTAGCTTGTTTATACTTTTTAGAGGCCTGAAGAGATTAAAACATCTATTTTATAAGTAAAAGCAAAGAATACAGGAAACAACTTACTTTTGTGTAGCAGAAATGTTCTTTTACTCCTTTTCTATCATTTTGATAATCTCCCAAACCCCCAGAACCAGACCCCCAAGGTTGGGAACCATAGCATGACAACAATACATTTATTGGCTACATTTTGATGGTATTATTAATGGTCAAATGTGTAACTTTTCAAGGCCTGAACTGCCACATCACTGGTCATATATTAAAAAAAATAAACTGATTGGCCCAATGATTGGTTTAAACTAGTTTACATTAAGTTAATATTTTTGATTTCAATGAATGAACTGACTTGACGTCTAATGTTTCCTTCCAGCATGCTGATCACTTATGATGACTCTGTGAAGATCTCTGATTTCGGCACGTCCAAGGAGCTCAGTGACAAGAGCACCAAGATGTCCTTTGCCGGTACGGTGGCCTGGATGGCTCCTGAGGTCATACGCAACGAACCCGTCTCAGAGAAAGTGGATATTTGGTAGGTGTCATCATAACCCTTTTACACTGTCCTCTTGCACTGGTGAACCTCTGCAATTTGCTCTTATGATTTGTCTTATCTGTCATAGAATCAACATAAAATCTCATTAGGGACAGCCTACTACAGTACAGAGAGCAGGATCGTATTTCCAGAAAATCTATTGAGTATTATGTACAATATCTCATTACATGAAATTCTATATGGCCTCGGCCACATCTGATGGGTTGCCCTGTGTAAAACCCTGATCTCCCCCAGTACATTCTCCCCCTCTCTCTCCCTACATCCCTCCATCACTCTTCCTCTCCGTCCTGAAAGGAACGCTGGCTAATTTAATAATTGATTTGCCAGATGCTGCAGTGCTCAGGAGAGGCTGCAATAACCTTCCAAGCCTGCGGATGGTTTGGCCCAGGGCCAGCAGTGCATTAGCAGGAGAGTGAAAATAGGATTAAAAAGCTTTTCGTGTGGAAAGAAAGCCAAGCATGAGTGTATACTGTACGGTTTTGTTTAAACTTATGTAAATGATTTGGAAGTACATGCCATGAAAAGAGTGAGTCAGAGAAAGATGTGGGAAAGACATATGTTCTATGTATTCAGTTTTGTTCTAACATTATTTGACATCTGGTACAACTCATACTTCGTCAGTTACTACGTCTGAATATATTATAAGGACTAAGATAGCCACAGGTAGAATTGAACATAATCACATTTTATGGGGATAAAAACTAACAAAACACAATTAAACCTTTCTTATCTTTGATTGAATACAATTCAAGCCAACTATATTTGCCCCTGCAAGGCTAAGTGAATTCAGCAACCTGCTAACAAACACATGAACACACAATTAATAGAAAGAGAAATTATTCTTAATCAAAAGATTAAAAGAAGACACAATGCTATAATCTCAAGCCTGCATATGGTACTGGCATAATTAATTATAAATCACCCAAAGAAACAACATCGTAAGAAAATGGTAGATACTGTTTCTCAGGGACAAAGGCCGACACAATTGCACCCTCACTGGCTTCAGTCAAACGCTGCATTGTATTATGTAAAATAATTATATCAAAGCAACAAATGAGTTTCACTTGGTTATGTAGTCAGTAGGCCTGTGGATTAAATTATTAAACCAAATTATTTCCATAGCAATTTAAATAGGTAAAAACCGACAACAAAACAAAATGTGGTGATTTTTATTTTCCTTTTTTTTTTATCATCTTTTTATTGTAATTTTCATATAAACAAAATCTATGGAAATGATGGCAGTATTAAAGTGAGGCAGGCTTACCACCCCAACCCCTGATTATCTAGACCAGTGGTTCCCAACCTGGGGGGCGCGCCCCCCTTGGGGGGGCGCCAAAGATCGCAGGGGGGGGCGCCAGGCCTCAGATGATTTGAGGTCAAATATCATATTTAGACTTTTTTTTTTAACATATCATTGTAACGCACTACATGATTGTCACTAAAAGCCTTGTCTCTACATTACAATACAATATAAAAAATAACTGATTCATTAATTTGAATAAAAATTCAAGTTAGTAGCTATTATAGGCATAAAAAAAAGGAAATGTATAATTCTTTCTTTAATAGAAATGTTTCTTCTGCCTGTAAAGTGTCCAAACCAGGCTTGTCTGGATAAGCGCATTTTTAAAACATAGTCATTGTCCATGCCGGTTTCAGTTGGATTATTTGTCACAGTTGCTCCGATCAGATCGGTCTCCTCCATTTTGTGGATTATTTACGACTTTTGAATCCACATAAACACATCGGCAAAATCCGGCTTGTGTTTTAAACAGTTTAGTCCCTTTGTGAATTGTTTCCACTTGCGCCGTCCTTTAATTTCTTCATACAGCGGGAATCCAAATTAATGAATCCTGAGTCCAATAACCATCAAAGTCACTCCAATAGTGCTCCTTAATTACGCTTTCATCCTCCTTTAACAAAATACTTCACATTCATCCAGTTTGTGACAGTAGTTGTAGCATTTTGAGACTTATAAACTTTAATTACCGCTGTTGTCATTTGGGGGGGCTCTTGGGAAAAAAGGTTGGGAACCCCTGATCTAGACAATGTTTAAGGCACAATATCTAGAAAAGGAAGAAGCCAGTTTCATGAAGTATTCATTTCCACGTGTTGTTTAGGTGAAATGAAATTTTTTCCAAAAGGGTCCCCAGGTCTTTCATCTCAGAGCCACTGACAGAAAAGTGTTTCAGAAGAAATCAGACATGGAGTGCATATATACTGTATTTTAAGTCCACTGCATCACTTTTTTATGTAATGGCTTATTATTAAATGTTTGTGTTGCTACTTTGATACTGAATTGACAAATGGTCAATTAATTACTTTACTGAGTGACATTGCGCTGTGTAGAAATAAATCATCTAACTAACAGATCATATTTAACCAGATGGTGAAACCATTTCATGCAATGCCTTGAAATAAAGTGTCTCTTCTTGTGCATTGATATCATGATCCATAAACTAGGAGATGGAGAGACTCTAAAAATACACATGTAAACACAACCTCACACATCTCCTCAATGCTACGTGTGATGCTAATGGCACCTTGGATACTGTCACCATGGCAACTCAGGGAGTCACCAGCAACAGACTTTCCTTGGTTACCGTCCCTTTGGGCCAGCTTCCTTCCCCCTCTCTGAGCGAAGTGAGGTAGAAATGAAGCTCATCAACTAACCACACATAACTGTAGTCAAATCAAGCATTATATTTAAATACATTTAACACCAAATACTATATTTGACCAATTACTTTGAACTGGGAATAACCTGTTATTTTGGCTAATACCAGTGAAGCTGTTATTGCAATTCACCATTATTCCAGTGGTACAAAACTGTTATCAGTGCCAAACCTTTTCATACCACACTGATGACAAATTATAAATAAGCTAACACATTTTCTTACACTGATACATTATCATCAAATGTAGCAGTTCTTATAAAATCTGAATCTGCAGATGTCTTTTTACAAAGTTAAGCGTGACATTTCAGTCACACTTCCTTATCGTTCACTTCCCATCTTTTATCAATGTGTCTGAAAGTAAATGTTCCCCATCTCTGTGCAGGTCATTTGGCGTGGTGCTGTGGGAGATGCTGACAGGAGAGGTGCCCTATAAGGACGTGGACTCCTCCGCTATCATCTGGGGAGTGGGCAACAACAGTCTCCATCTGCCTGTACCGGATAGCTGTCCAGAAAGCTTCAAACTGCTCCTCAGGCAATGCTGGTGAGTGGGGGGGGGCAGGAGGAGGAGGGAGGAGGCAAAAGAGAGATGGGAGGGAGGGAATTTGGAGTTTTAAGAAGGCTGAAAGATTGAAGTCATTTGGGAAAGGCAAAAGAGAAGATACATTTAAAATAGAAGTAACTATTTCTCTTAAGAAAGAAAAGGAAATGTTTCTTGCATTTCTGACCAAACATTTGTCCAAATTGTCCACAGGAACTGCAAGCCAAGAAATAGGCCCTCCTTCCGACAGATTCTCCTGCATCTGGACATTGCTTCCGCAGATATCTTATCGACTCCCCAAGAAACCTACTTCCAAACTCAGGTAAGCTTCTTGTATGTCTTCCAACAGTCCCAACTGAATAGCTACTTGATGTCCAATTGACGAGTGAAATTTGCCTTTTTTATTTTTTTATCAGTAGCTGTTTAGACAATGAAGAGAAAATAGAGAGAAATAGCAAATGGAAGAAAACAGCTCTTTATCTACTATCTCACACGCTGTACAATTGAGGGTAAATATAATCGTCATACTCATTTTCTCAGGTCACAGTATTCCTTTCCAAATAAATAGACATCACATGAGCTCCGTTTCTCATAATAGCCAACCCCCTGTCAACAGCAGCCAATATCTCTAATAGTCATTTTGCTGTAAAACAACTACCATTTGTTTCCAATCCGCTGCAGTAACCAGCAGCACTGCAGCTGCACCGGGGGCCCGGGGCCCCTCGGGACCACACTAATAACACCTGTCCTTTCAATCACAACATAATATTGTGGGCACCTTGGTCTTTGTTCTTTGTCACACATGAAGCCTTTTTCAACCTCCCATCATATGAAAGCACGATGGTGAAGGTCTCCGTGATGTAGAAGGAGGGTGTGTCTCTGACAGGGTGGGGGATGGGAAGTTAATGACAAATATGTCGGACCAATGCAAACCCAAAAAAATGAAGGACAAGAGCAAAGTATAATTGTGTGGAAGATGTGTCTTTACTCAGCCATGCAGAGCCTCAGATCCATTTATAACCCGAGCATTAGACACACTGGTGCACAGAAACACACAAAATGAAAATGATTTAATTTCCTGCTAGCAGCTCCCCATTGCCTCCTCCTCCTCCTTTTTATATCTTACGATGCAAAATACAAACCTCTTTCACTCTCTCCACTTATCTTTGATCCTTTATTTCTCCCTGTGCCCCTTCCCCCCCTGCTTCAACCCTGCCCAGATTCTCTCCTCTCTGTCCCATAATGGATTTTTCTTGTGACGTTAGAAAGAAGTATTTGCTGCTGGAGTGTATTGATTGCTTTAATGGTAGGGCGCAGAGAGCAAAGAGAGAGGAGAACGAGGGGACTGGAGACATGGAAGAGTGCGCACACGAGTCCATTAGCTTAATAAGAAGAGCATCAGTCATGCACGGACAGAAACACACACATGTGGCACACGCACACACATGTGGCACACGCATGTACGTGCACACGCTCGTAGATCAGACTTCTTTTGTCCTTTGATATGACAGGTATCAGGTAACAGCTGTCACACTCTACTTTGTACAAGAAGATGCTCACACTGCATCTTCATGTCACATCAGTTCATGTTCAGTTTCCCTGTGTATTGATCATCATCTGACAGCTTAATGGTTTCGTTATCAATGATACACAAATCCTTAATTGCTCTGCAAATTAAGAGCTTTTTTACTAGATGAGTGTGCGATAACATTTATTCACATTATTTATGTTTTTTTTTAAATATTTGTACTCAACTAAAGTCTTATTTTATTATCACTATAGCAATTAAAACTAGATGATCCGAAAGTGTAGCAGCTGGAAAGATCAAGCTGCAGAAATACATTATCTAGATTTAAGATGAAGCAGGTACTTGCTTGGTGTCCTGCTGTATTTCCCCAAGCAGCTACATGGTGATGGTAAATACAGAACTGGTAGTAGAAATATTAAACATAGCATTTGTGACATGAACAGTAATATAAGTTGTAGTTTAACATTCATCTGAACCGTTCTATGTGTTTTTGTACCTGTAATAGTGTAATATTCGATACCTGCTCTGATGCATGTGTGTATGTGCTTCACCAGGTGGCGTGGAGAGACGAGGTGAGGCATCACTTTGAGCAGATCAAGTCTGAGGGGACGTGTATTCACAGGCTGGACGAGGAGCTGATCAAACGACGCAGAGAAGAACTCAGGTTAGCAAAAGAATAACAGTAAACAGAAAGAGGATGAACTTCTAAATAGGAATACAGATGTTGAGATATTTATAACACTTACAAAGTCATAAGCAAAAGCTAACTATTTAAAACTCCATACTTCGGTTAGCTTTGCATTAAAGTATTTTCCTCTCCACACAGACATGCCCTGGACATCCGGGAGCACTACGAGAGGAAATTGGAGAGAGCCAACAATCTCTACATGGAGCTCAACGCCATCATGCTGCAGCTGGAGATCAAAGAGAAAGAACTGCACAAGTATGAAAACTGCCATCAATTTATAGGGCCTATAAAACGTATTCACCCCCTTGGAGGTTTTTATGTTTGATTGTTTCAGGGCATTGAATCAAACTGAATTTAATGGGGCTTTTGACCCTTTAATGTCAAAGTAAATCCATTCTCTACTAAATGCTTTCAAATACTCAAAACATAGTTATAACAAAAAGCAGTGTTTATAGGCCTCTATCAGTTTTCCTTATCTGGACAATAAATAGTTTTGTCAGGTTGCACTGTGATCACTGTCTTAAGTATAGCCAAAGTTATTGTTTAGAAATCACATAAACCAATGGCAGTATACTGTAGTAACTTTTTCACAATAGGAAAACTAGGGTTGTTAATATTCAAATTATTTGTACGAATAGCTTTATCCACTTGGTTTCCGCAGTGTTTTGTAATGAAAGAGCTGGGAAAGGTCATCTGTAATGTGCAGTGAAGGGCCATTACGTCCAGTCACACAGGGCCACTGCATGTAACAAAGTGCTCTATTATTATTATGCCCTGCTGAGTATCCATTGCCATCCATTTAACAAGCATTTGTTTTGTGTTTGAATCAGGAGGGAGCAGTCACTAGACAAGAAGTACCCGGGCTGCTTCAAGCACCAGAGCTCCAGACAGTCGGCCTCCTCCAACTCCATGGAGAAGCTCATGAAGAAACGCAACGTACCGCAGAAGCTGCCCTCTCACAGCAAGAGGTGAGACACCGGGGAGTTTCTGAAGCCATCATAGTATATAGCTGGTGTCTCTTGAATATTATGTTAACCCCAAGACAATACATTGATCCTGCTGTCTGTATACAAAGTGGGTCATTGATTATTCTTTTGTGCCCCTACACCTTCATTGTCCAGAAACTATTTAAATCCCACCATTCAAATGTGTGAAATGCATGCAGTAATTACACAGTTTAAAAAGTCAACAAACACACATTGTACCGCTATTTAATTAATGTTTTCAAAAAACTACTGTTCCCTGCTGTTTTACATAAGTATTTAGTATTTGCATATGTTTTAGGGATTTGGGGCCACAGACAGGTTGGGTGAGGTGGAAAGTAATAACTAAGGAAATATTTTAACAATAACAGACATTCAGAATACTACCACCCCTATCCTTCCATGTATCTCCCTTTTTAAATATATTATTCTATTCCTGTCCTTTTCAGGCCTGACCTATTAAAGTCAGAGGTCATCCTCCCCAAACTGGACTCTTCCATGACGCAGGTTACAATCCCCAACAAGGGTTCCACCTCGCCCGGTCGCTCACGGCGAGGAAAGCCCCGCTACAGGAAGGCCGGGAAAGGCAGCAGCGGGGACTTGGCTCAGCTGAAAGCCACTCTCTCCTCTTCATTAGCCATGGTCAACTGCACCTCATCTGTGCCCAGCAGCAAGCAGCACTTAGACCCCAGTGCAGCTCTCAGGGGGCTGCAGCATGACCTGCTGCTCAAGAAGATGTACTCCTCCAGCCCGGACCTCATTTCAACCACGATGGAGGCTGAGGACCGGAGGAAGGGCCAGGTCCGGACGGGGCTGGACAGAGTGGGCAGCCAGAGCGCCTCAGCCGGGCTGGGGGAGAGCAGAAGGACTGAAGGGACTGAGGAGGGGCCGGATGTGGGTCTAGGGACTGATGACCTGGCAGGAACCCCTCCACGCAGTGACACGCCCAGCGAGGATGCAGCTTCCATCCCTTTCTCCAGTAGCCCCGAGTCACCATGTGGCAGGGGGGCCGCGGCGGGGAGGGCGTCCGTGCTCGGGAACCCCCGGGTTTCGCACGAGGGTGAGGAAAAGGAAGAAGGGACAGTGATCACACGCTCACCCAGAAGTCAACGCCTCACTCCTGCAGCACTGCTTTACAGGGCAGCCGTCACACGCAGTCAGGTGAGCAGGCATTGTCTGAGGATGCAGTTAGGATACAGAGTGATGTCTTAGTGTGAGCCAGCCCTGAATGTTTTTAAGGGGGCAAAGATTAATCAGCAGTGAGAGGCATTGGTGACATTTTGATTTCATTTGTTGCCACATAAGACAAAAACATTTCCCTTTTCTTATTGTTTCTTGACTGCTTCACAGGTACAGAGCAGCATCATTAGAGGTGCTATGCTATGATGACTGACACTGATGAAGTACAGATAATATAAAAACATTTTTGACTCTAGTCGGCCAAAATAATGATCTTGCCTCTATTTATTACAATCCTTTTTTCTTCTTGTATAGATGCCATGTTGCAAATAAAAAAAACACTAAATAGGATGCAAGGATTTAATTCAAGTGGTTAATTATTGCTTCCTGTGCATTTGTCTGTTGCTAATTCCACTTCCTGTTTAATATGCATAAGCTAAGGGTGTTTGTATGTTTCACAAATGAATTATGTGTGATGAATATGTAGAAGTAGTAAAAAGACATTGATGATTCATTCATCCGGAAACTGTCAGCCACTTTGGCTTTACTGAAAGTGGCACCGTGCAGTTTGTACCCAGGGTGTCATCAGAGTGTCATCAGGGTCATATCCTACCAGATGGCTCAGGAATATTAGCAAGAATGAGGGAGATAAATGTGAATTGAAACATGAAAACACCAGAGTTTCATACATGCGGTTAATTTTCTCCACAGAGACGTGGAGTGTCATCAGAGGAAGAGGAAGGAGAAGTGGACAGTGAAGTGGAGTTGCCAAGGAGACGGTAAGAGTTGTTAAACACATTGAATGTCATAATCGAAGACCTACTATTTTAAGATTTCCATCTGTGCCTCCATACAAAATTCACAAGTTACTCTTCCTAAAACATATCAGAAATAAGCAACGAAACCTGTGTAACACATAGTATGTGAATTAGCAAAAACATTATACAAGTGTAAAATATTCAGCAATAAGGTAATGTAACATGTAGCCTAAGAGACAGGATTAAGATGTTAGCATATAATTACATTTATGTGATTGTTTAACATTAACACCCTCCTTTTTAGTATTTTTACTGTTGGTCAGTGTTTTTGGTTCACCATAATATGTTTGTTTGAAATACTTTTAAATGTATTGTTATAATTATATTAAAATATATATGTTGATGTACTCTTTTCTACATTTTCTCCACCCAGGCGTCCCCTGAGCATGACCAAGTGCCAGTCCCTGTCCACCTTCAGCTCAGAGAACTTGTCGGTGTCGGACGGTGAGGAGGGGAACACCACGGACCACTCCCACAGCGGCACACCGGACGTGGTCAGCACCAACACCGACGAGCGTCTGGATGACAAGAGCGATGACCTGCTCTCCCAGGGCTCAGAGATCCCCGCCGACCCGTCCGACCCGACCCAGCTGGGCTCCGACGGAATGTCTGAGAAAGAAGCTATTCTTCGCCAAGTCAAGACCCAGCTCGCTAGTAATGATCATAATTTTGAGGTAGGCTGCAAAGCGTGATTAAAATGAGAATTTACAATATAGTCTGATATAAAGAGGAAGGCAATAGGTCAGAATCGGCTTTTGTAGCCAAAAGGTAGTAGTAGTAAAAAGGTTTTGCTGTTCCAACCTTAAAGGTCACCTATAATGCAAAATCCACTTTTTCATGTCTTTCATACATAAACATGTGTCCCCTCTGTGTTAAGAGATTCTGAACATTTCAGGGAAAAAGATTTGCTCACTTTTTGTCCTGATCCATTTATTTTAAAACCTGTCTGAAAATGAGCTGATCAGATTTTGGCCACTTTATGTCATAACGATTTTTTGGCTTGTGTAACCATTAGCCAATCACCAACCAAGGTAACCCCCGCCCACCTTATCACCTGAATCTCCTCCTAGAGCACCATTGTGTTCTTTTTAACCAAATATCTCGCAGAGGGGAGGGGCTCCTTATTTTCATCTAAAGTGACAGAGGATCAGCACTTTTGAAACAGGGCTGAAACAGAGGGGTTTATGGGATGCTGCAATGTGCCTGTTTCGTATTTGGAGCCAAACACTTCAGAGGCATGTTTTGTATATATCTGAGACCTGTAATATATTGATGAAAAACAGTATAATAGGTGACCTTTAATGAATGATGTTTTTTGTTCAAACCAGGCCCTTTATGATGACTCGGACTGTGACAGTGCAGAGCTGGATCATTCAGGCAGCGCAGACCCAGCCCCAGCCCCAGCCCCAGCCCCAGCCCCACCGCCACCCCCACCCCCACCTCCACCTCCAGCCAACTGGTGAAAATCCCCCTAAACCAACTCAAACTCCTGCAGATCCGGCCTGAGAATGTCTCTGTTATTCTAACAGACCTTCAAATGCATGAGCCATGATCAGGGACATTTCATTGACAGGAGATGAAGGTGCATCTCCGTCATCACAAGCAGGAAAACCAAACAAACCCTTGGTGAGTGTTCTCAAAATCCTGATATCCTTGGGAGTGAAAACATAAAATCCTATTTAATTTGAGATAAATGCGTCAGAGTTGTGTGAAACTGATTTGGGCCACGAGCAGAGCTGATGGCGCAACTGGCCCAGGATCAGCTCTGCAGTGGCCTCAGTCAAAGAAGCCATCCACACGACGGTCTGATTATGTCTCTTTCATCTTCCATGTCCGTTTGTATTTTTCTCTCCGTCATGAAAAGTGTCACGTTATATCACACCATGTAATGAGAACATGATAATAAGATCCTATCAGGGTGTCATGATCTTTAATGTTTATATTGTCAACGTCACTGGGACATACACTGATGTTGCTGCTTGCACTTATTTGATGAAATGTACTGATTTCCTCACGATCATCGTGTCATATTGCTTTCCTCTCAACACGTTATGCAATGACTAAGTTATTCTTATTTTAGTGAATTTATTGACATTCTTAACAATGTTTACATTTTTCATTTATGTTTACATTTTTTATTTATGTTTTTCGTCATGGGTTAAGTTATGTTTTTTACTCCTGTATTTTAATATCTATGTAAATATGTGATGTTGTAAAATGAACAAATTTTAAAAATGTGAGATTGTATAATTTAAAGGTGCTGATGTTTCTAATTAGGTGGCACTACTCTATTTGAACCTCAGAAAGCTTTTGGTAGTAGAATGTACTGTAGCTGCGGTTCATGTCCGAGCATCGAAACACAGATAAAAGAGTCACATGTGAACAAAGAAAAAGCAATATGTCTGCTCTGGTGCAGTATGTCCTGTCACAGGTCAGAAGAACCACAGCTGAACTCATTCAGGGCAGATGGGCTTCTTTATTAGTATTTGAGTGTTTACTGTATTAACATGCAAAACCCTCTTGCCATCTAGGGGTGTATATAGCATCAGAAAAGCATGCTTGTGATGAAGTACTGGGAGCCTATTGGTCACTGTTTGTGACTCGTGTCATAATGAAATATTGGATCCATCCACAGATAAAAAGATGCAGATTTCTGGCAGACATTTTAAGACTCGAGGCATATGGATGACGGGGATACAAAACACAAATAGATCTCAGTGTAACTGGAAAATATGATTATTTGTATGGTTGTCTGTTCCAACTCAGTTCTGCCTGACTTGTGGCCAAGCTGTTTGCAGTGTACCAGCACAGAAAAGAGATTAGGAGTTTTTCATAATTTCTCATCTATTTGATTCTAGTATTGTTTTAGTGAATAAATCACAAAACAACCACAGGCTTGTGTGGCATAAATGGAAAATTACCTTTAACTTACACCTGCAATATATGGCCAATTTGACTTACTGCCTTCCCCATATATAGCATTTTCAAATGGGGAAGTTTCAAAAGCTCAATATATATGGTTTATCCATTTTTAGCACTCCGAACATTGTCCTCACTCGCTGAATTTTGGCCAAAAGATGGTAATTGTTTTACCTATGTGCAAGGGCTCTTCCATAACAGATAATACGATACATATGACTCATGTTTGATGTACTTGTGTCCCTTGACAAGCCTTCTTGCATGCATGTGGTTCAATCTGACTGTACAACAGCACTGCAGCCTGTTCCATTAACTCATGACTGATCAGGTCCAACTCAATAAGCTAAAATTGGCAGCTTCCGTTTTTTAATCTGGTGTTTTAAGATTTTAAGATATTGTGCCCCCAAGATTTAATGATAGAAACCCTCCTGCAGGAGAAAATGTTGCCAAAAAGCAAAACTACTGCCCTCTAGTGTCTGAACTGTGGAGGTACTTGTTTTCCGTCATGCTGATATAAACAACCCTGTATGAACAAAAACGTTTGCTTTTTATATTATTGTAACTGTACAATAAATATATTTAAGAAACAGTTTTAAATAAAAATCAAACCTGTAAAATCTCAAATTGTGGGTTCAGTATCTTTCAGCGACAAAACACTCAAGACAAGTGGTGGTTTGAGCATTTCACATCTTTATTTCTGTATTTTTTTTAAACAATGTTGTGGCACCCAGGTCTACAGTCTCAAAAACGTGCACAAAAGTCTCTTTCCTGCAAATAAAAAATAAAATAATTGTCTGACTCGAGCAAAGCAAAGAGCAGGAAACTAGTGTTAACTCACAACCCTTTCTTTGTCTGGTTCCAGATCCTCATCACATCTAATAGTGTAGTCATTGTCCAGGAGTTAATCCCCCTTTGGTAGTTTAAAAAAAAATATTTCATCCATTTAAAACAAATATTCCAACATTTTTTTTAAGTATACATCAGTCTTTACAAAAAAAGCGAGGAGAACCCTCTGCTTCTGAACCCCAGTGCCAAGCCCAAATCCCCCAAAAACATCCCATCCCAGCAAAATATCAACATATGATCTCAGGACAAGGAGAGGGGGGAAACAGGAATGACATGTAGAGGAGATGACATGCGTAGAAATACACAATTTAAATTATCTGGAGAACTAATGAGTGTTAAAACTTTTCTCACTATAACCAAATACAAATTTGTGACAGTGCATTGTATAGCTACGTTTTTTTAACTTATGTTACAAGCACTTCAAATTGAAAAGGTGACAAAGGGGAAGAATGCTGTGTATAATTAAATGAAGTGTGGACATAAAATGGACAGAGACTTTGTGGAACTGGGTGAGAGAAGGGAGGGGCGTGTATATATAAACGGAGAGTAAAACAGTCTATTATTTTTTGACTTCCTTTGAAAAGAAAAAAAACTGACTGTACACAACTAAATCTATATGCCTATTCAGAGTTTATCAACTCCACTCCTTTGTGATGGCGAAAGAAGACAAAAAAAAGGGGGAAGAGAGCGAGGGATTCATTAAAAAAAACTAAAGTCTTCTAACAAATAATTAAAACCTCCAACTCGACTCAAAAAAGGGAATTAAAAACCTAGTACGATTCTTCTGACTAAAACCAAAACAAATGAAATAAATAATGAACTGAACTGAGTGGGTCAAATCAGTGTCAGTTGACATGATTTCAAATGACAAAAGAGGCAGCATAATATATAAACTCTTAAGTTGGGTAGTTGCATTGACTGTTTTGTGGTGGCCGATGATATAAAAGTGAGATTTAGTGCAGATGCAGTGTCGTACTAGTTGGCTGCCAGTCCTGTGGCCTCAGAGGAAAGCCTGGAGAGAGAGACACCCGGAGCAGGGGGGGAGAGAGAATAAGGCATGCAATCAGACATACATTTCATATACTGTATAAGATGATTTTTTTTTAATAAAAGTTGTTAGTGTTCCTATACTAAGAAAAGTTGATTAGTTCTGTGAGAATCTTGTAAATTATTACTCCTCTCAGCCGACAGCTTTTCAGAGCTAAAACTGATACTTTATGGTTTAATGGACCAATGGTTAAGTTAACATGTTTAGAAAAACGCTTATTCGCGTTCTTGCTGAAAATGGATAAGGTTGATAGCAGGCGGTTAGCTTAGCATAGCATTAATACATTAAAGCAGCTAGCCTGATTCTGTCAGGGTAAAAATGTAAAATAAATCACAAAACCCAACTTCCAGCACCTCCAATATTCACAATTTAACACATTGCATTCAGTTTGTACAGAGAAACAGTCTTGTCGTCACTGAGGTTGCCAGGCAACCAGCTGAGACTTCAGGAAGTCACTGCTTTGGCCGAGAAACAGGCTGGCTTCAAAATGCAACTACTCACTATTAAATCCACTCTAAAGTGGGTTCTGAAGTGTGGTGTTATCTTAATGTATAGTGAGAATTATAATAACATAGGACTTAATGTAAATATTTACAACAAATCAAGAACTAAAACGAGAATCATGCATTGCGCTGAAGACGTGCAAGAGGAGAGAAATCTATTGTGGTCCGATAATGACTTTTTATGTGAGAGGCGTAGAGCAACGGCCACAAAGTATTTATTAATTTGGGTCACCCAAATGCACTTTATAAAATGTGCAATGGCAAGTGTACTAGCATAAATGGTGAGTGGAGAGAAAGTGGGAATGATTTGAACACAGGCATTGTCTGACACAACCCTTATGAAACCACAATGTGTTTTACATTTCCCTTTTGTAAGGATTTCACAAACAAGAGATGCGGTTAGCTCTCGACAGTCAGGTTAGCAGTTTCCAGTCTTAGTGTTAAGCTAAAGAAACATCTTGCTACATTTTTACTGTACAGACATGAGGGATATTCATCCTCTCACCCAACTATCAACAAGTTAGCATATTGGCATTTCAACTGTCAACGTTTTTATTTAACAATAAGCTTAACTGGTTAGATGCGTTTGCATTTATCACATCTACATAAAGATCTAAATAAAGGGTGGTTTGTTGCCTTTGATACCTGAGGGCATATTTACTTGGAATTGACATTGCTTCTTACATAAGCTAAAAACAAAATACACACGTTATAACATCCAACAATAGTCACTTAAAATTCACTACAAGAAAACTATTCCAATAAATACAATGTGACATATTAAAGAGAGCCGCTACCTGAGCAGAGCTTACACAAAGAGAGAAATGCTTCAGTAAAATATTTCACCGTCCATGCTAACTTCAAAGTCATTTAAAAATATAATGCACTCAACATGTCATTTATTTAGGAGACAGGCTACAGATATTTATTTCATAAATATGGCAGCAACCATCTGTCTGGCTGTTAAATACTAGTGTGTGTGCATTTGTTTCGGTAGTAAGCGTGGCGTGGCACAGCCAGATACAAAAGCGAGTGCAGGTACAGACAACAGAGAGCATCGTCAGCACTTTAGTAGATGACTTGTGCTTCCTTGGTTAGTAAGGGGAGAGCCTTCGCCTTTTAGACTTGGAGCTCAGCTCGGGGGTGATTTTGGGCTCAGCGGGTATTGGGTGAGAGGGGTTACTGGCCCCGCTGACAACATGGAGGGCCAGCAGAGGGAGGGGCTTGAGACTGAGGAGACTTGAGACACAGGCAGGAGAGCTGGGGAGCAGGGAATCAGTGGAGGAAGAAGAGGAGGAGGAGGGAGGAGGAGGCGGCCCTGGAGCCAACAAGGACAGAGGGATGGAGGCTGAGGGGGGCACCACACAGGAGGAAGAGGAGGAGGAGGAGGAAGAGATAGCAGCAGAGGAGGTGGTGGTAGTAGTAGTAGTAGTAGTAGAGGTGGAGGGAGAGCACAGGCTGGTCTGCTCAGGGTTCAAGGAGGAGGAGGAGGGAGGAGGTTTAGAGGACTCTACACTGTAGAAAGAGAGACAAGGAGAGAGGGACAACACAGTCGGGATGGGTCACAGGGCAGGCTGGTGATCAATGGGTGGGGGGGGATCGGTAGGAGGAGGGGTGAGGGAGGTGTGTGTGTGGGGGGGTGTCACTCAGTGATGTGAAACACCAAACTAAAAGTTTCATTAGAAATAAATGTGTGAATCCAAAAAGAAAAAAGGACATCTCTACTGGTGGATCGATGTTAAGCCAAGTGAAAAAGCACAACAGCAGACTGACAGAGCTGGCAACATCAAAGTGATGTTAAGCAGTGGTTAAAAAGAAATTGTAAAAAAATAGTGTAAATGAATCATTGGAATTTGAACACAAATCCAACCTATACAAGTTAGGACAGCAGGTAGGCACTTGTGTATTTACTAGGGCTGTTTTAGTCATTTGTTAATGTAACCCAATTTGTGTTCTTTGACATTGAAAAGGATATCGCATTGTGTTTGTTACTTTCGTTGCATATGTCTTAAGTGTAATTTGGCTTGGCTTCCTATTTTGTATGGACATGCTTTTATTTTGACGGAGTTAGTGTTGTTGACAGGAAGTTGTTGTTGCCATGGAAACAATGTGACGAGATTAACGGCGAAATCTACATATAAAGACGGAGAAAGTAAACAATAATGTTTATGGTTAAGTGTTAGCCCGGCCCAAAGGAGGCACAAGCTCTTACGTTGATATTGGAGATTTCAAATTAGAAAAAAAAACAAAAAACAAAACAAAAAGGAAAACAAAATTGAAACCCGAATAGTACTCCAACGAACGAATATTCGGATACAGCCCTAGTATTTACATACGATATTACATAAACTATGTTATCCTCTTGTGGATTAGCATTGTGAGAGATATAATCAGGTAGATCAAGTAACTGTAGTTTTTCCTTTAACATTTATAGACCACAAATAAGGACGTTGTAAATGATTGGTTGGTCAGTAGCTGGTAATAATTTGACCAATACAAAAATATGATCGGGTAATTGTGTAATTAAAAAAAAAAGAAAAAAGAAGCCTGCATGCCTGACACTGCTCAAGGCGGCTGTCCTGCTGATGAATTCTGAAGCATAATGTTTTGAGTACCAGAAAGCAATAGAACTCTTGTTACCCTTTTCCAACTAAATCTACAAAACAGTGATGGACTGTTAGTGCGACACTCCCCTGCTCCAAGTATAAAGAAAATAAGCAGTGGCAGTAAATGGAAAGATAAAGTCGGGGCACAGCAGGAAACGCATCCAGCTGAGCAGCTGTTTCCGGCAACTAGGCTAACGTTCGCTACGGTAAACCAAATATCACTTCATCATGTAGATCACGTATGCAACATATTTATTATTGGTCGTTTAAAAGCTATTTTAGTTGTTAGATACTTCAATTCATATAGTGTGGTCTAAATAGTCTTCTAATGAACATGGAAGGTGTTTGCTGCGAGTACAACTAATGTGTCAACATCTGATTTTTTGTTGAACATAAGTGATGTCAGTCAAAAGTTTCCTAAAAAGGAAAAAAAACCTATTTCATAAATGAATGATTAATAATTAACTGATAAAACATTAAACTGGACAACTATTGGTTAAACTAATTGCTTAAGATTTGTATCCCTAACACAAACTGAAGTGGCGCAGAAACTCAAAGTAAACCAGGCTAATGTAATGCTTGAACTTAAAAGCCTGGGACTGATTACTAACCTTGTTTGAG